TTGCAGGGAGGAATAAAACATGGAGAAATGTGCATGTTTTGAAGAACTGTGTGTTAGAAGAAGGGCCCTATTCTTTTGTCCAGCAGTTATCCTGGTTTAGTACTGTAGGGAGCCACTGTGAGTCCCCACACCTTGTGGTGTTGTTAGTCCCCAGGGTAAGGTACTTTTCAGGGATAGCTCCTGTCTGTGATTGCGGGGCAGTATGTCACCCCTGTGCTAGAAATATATAAACAGGCTCTGTGAGCATATTAGTTAGTTGGCAGCAGCTGCGTATTTACCTTGGACGGCAATTTTCAGGGATGGGGACCTGGTGAGGCACTGCCTGTGCTTCGTCATGGACTCCAAGGAGGCTGCGTGCTGCTGGAGGGTGTAAGCAGAGTCCCCACACAAGGAAGGCAGTGGGCTTGGCTCCGAGGATGGTAGGCTGCTTTCCAGAGAGGTTAAGGTTAATGCTTGAATAGCTCCTCTCTCTCTGTGGATATGACGGGGGGGGGGGGGCAGTGGTTGGCGGAGGGTAGCAAAGGTAGGGGCTGAGGGGGGTACTGGTGGTGGTGGGGGGCGCCCAATTTTAGTGTTGCCTAGGGCAGTATACAAGAACTAAATGCACCACTGGTTGGTGGTAACCCTCCAGAACCATGGAGGGAACAGAGAACCCTTCTATTGTAAGCCTAACAGGGAACTGCCATGTAATTTGGGTAGCCTTAAAGCCCTGCCCAGTTTGACAATTCCCAATCCAATACGATACATCATACTTATGGGGCGCCACACCCCCAATTCTTCTCCTCCCCTGTATACTTGTCAATGTCCATGTCGATGGCTACATGATGTCAGGACCTGCATGACATTGACACTTTCTATTGGATGTTTAGTGATGAGGTTCTCTTAAGATCTAGAAGAGAATTTGTTATCCCAGGGTGACAGTAGTTGACTGGTGATCTCGAGCTCCATTCACACTGCTGGATGTGTTGTATCACGCATCGAGAACAGGCAATAGTGAGGGACCTAGAGGGAGGACCTAAGAGTGTATATCCTGTTTCACAAGTTAAGAGTAAAATTGTCCTATTAGCATGAGTTAGAGGGGTAGGCAAGGGGATGGGAAAAAATAGTTTTAGCCCACAATGGAGATTTAAGCAGGTGTTTGCGGGGACTGAGCCCTAATGATAAGCTAATCTCTTCACAGTGCTCAAACGTAAGTGGACTATGACACTTTCCGCTATGCAGGGCAAGCACAGGTCTCTGTGGGCAATTACTCTTGAGCATGGACTTGTGTCTGGGGAAATGAGTGGGACTGATCTGTAGCTTAAGCAGGCAAGGAGGGGAACCCGAGTTTCTATCCTTGTGGCACATGTAGTAGTTATCATGGGTCTAGGAAGGCACGCACAGCAAAAAGAGATTGTCAGACAATCTAACACTTCATAACAGGGGCGGACTGACCATTCGAGCACTCGGGCACTGCCTGAGGCCCGGGGTCAGTAGGGGGCCCCATGAAATGCCCCTGTTACCTTTTTATAGGCTTTTTTGGGTGTGCTTTGAGTGTGGGCAAAGACACAGGGGCCCCATGAACCCCTATTTCCCGGGGGCCCCAGGAGTTGTCAGTCCGCCCCTGCTTCATAATACGCAGTGTTGTATAGAGTACATAGAACCATTCCATTAACCTTTGCCCCAAAAAAGTTTATGTCTAACTACCATAATCACAGCTTAAATACTAAGTATTCTCTGGTGAAATTTGAACATTTAAGTAAATGGAGCAGAAGTATTAGTGTGTGCTGCTAGGGAAGTGGTAGGTTAGGTGAACCTTTTGCATTTTCATGCATGAGTCCACTTTAATGGCTCATTTCTACCTATTATTATTATTATTATTATTATACAGTATTTATATAGCGCCAACAGTTCGCTCAGCTCTGTACATTACAATAGGGGACAATACATGAGACAGTACAATAACAATACAGTGCGATACACGAGGGGTTCGAGGGCCCTGCTCCTTGGAGCTTACAATCTAGGAGGGAGGGGATAGTGGTACGGGAGGAAAAGCTGTGGGGGATGGAGTGGTAGGAAGAGTGGAGAACGGCAGTTAGCATTATGAAAACAAATTATAAATCATGCAAGTTATTGCAATGCACACAAGTGCACCATGCACTTCAATTTTGGATGGCATATCACAGCTACAATGTGTGATGCAGTATTCAGTGTAACATGTAACAGAATCATGCTTTGAGGTGCATTACAGCCCATTCATTTTTCTTAGGTCACCTAATCCAATATTGTGGTATACTATGTTCTAGTGTGAAAGGGTTTGAACTTAAAAATGCATACAGTGGCCTTGGCCTACAAGTCAGTGGCTTCACTTCCTCATCCAGACATTGCAATACTGTACCAGGCCATTTAATTAGCCTTGTTGGCAATCTGGGGATTTGAGAACCCCTATTTGTGATTTTGGAGGGTGTCTCAAACACACCCACTGCAGGCTCCACACTGTCAATAGTAAGACACTTCAGCCACCAACGAGATCCAAACTTGGAATTTTGAGGGTAATCGGTAATGCAGAAGGAGGAAATTACTCAATACAGGCTTCAGAATTTTGCTTGTAGTGACCCATTACAGAGATCTATGGATTCAAGCTGCTGTGGAACTTTTTGGCTTTGGTACAGTTACAGCATTTGCTGATAACATTATTTTTGCTTTGATTGATTTCACTTGCCTGGAATTGCTCTTAATGGAACTATGTTTTGGGATTGAGGGAGCAAACGGTGGTGCCCAAAGGAAAGCCAGAGCATACAAACTCCGCTGTGGTGGGAGTGAATCCGAGTGCAAGCCAACAGTTCTAGTTACTGAGTCACATTTCTGCTTATTGGCAATGACACTCCTTGACTCTGCTCTAGACTAATGCTCCTATCAAATCAGATGCATCTTGTTTTGTACAGACAACAGTGAAGTACTGTAATATCCACAAAATGTCCAAAATGATATGACCGAAATTTGTGAAGATTTGACCATGACAGCTATATGAGCTTGTCTAATATATCACATGATGCTCCAGACAAGTTCTAGCTCCACACTTCACAATCTATCTCATCTCAGGTGCTGGCTCAGCTCATCCCCACCGAAGCAATTCATTTTACCATCAACAGAAATGCAGAACATTAGCGATGCAAAATAATAGTGGCTAAATGGTTAGCACTTGTCTGGCACTACTAGGGTTGTTGGTTTGAATCCCAGCCACGGCACCTCCTGCCTGGAGTTTGCATGTTCTCCCTGTGCCTGTGTGGATTTCCCTGGATACTCTGGTTTCCTCCCCACTCCAAAGACATGCTGGTAGGTTAATTGAATCCTGTCTAAAAATTGTCCCTAGTATGTGTATGTATGAATGTGAGTTAGGGACCTTAGATTGTACACCCCTTGAGGGTTAGGGACTGATGTGAATGTACAATATATATGTAAGTGCTGCATAAATTGACGGCGCTATAAAAGTACCTGAAATAAATTAATAAAATATTCTTTCTTTATTAAAATAGCCAGCAGGAACATGTTCTATTCTGACATGTTTCGAACTAGGCACAGCATTTTCTTAACTATGTGAGCTTGTTGAACATCTCATTCCAAAACCATGGGTATTAACATGGGGTACCACACCTCAACCCCACCTCCCTTTGCAGCCATAATAGTTCCCACTCATCTGGAAGGTTTTTCAAAGGATTTTGGAGAATGTCTGTGGGAATGTGTGCTCATTCAACCAGAAGAACATTTGTGAGATCAGGTACTGATGTTGGATTAGAGGACCTGCCTCTCAATCTGCCTTCCAACCCAAAGGTGTTCAGTAGGGTCCTCCACACCAAACTAATCAAACCATGTCTTTATGGAACTCCTTTGTGTACAGGGATACAGCCATGATGGAATATAAAAGGGCCTTCCCCAAACCTTTGGCACAGGTTTGAAAGCACACAATTGTCCAAAATGTCTTTTCATGTTTATGTTTGTCATAGAGATTGTGTGGCTATGTGCTTGAATTTATGTATCTGTGAATTATGGGTGTGGCAGAACATAACTCAATAAATTAGAGGGTTGACTCTGTATTTTTACTGATGGTTAGGCAGGCATCTATAAACATTTGGTCATATAGTGTAGCAGCAGACAGATGGTAGGCAGTGAGTTAACGAACCTTCATACTGACCCTAGAGGGCACTACTTGGCAAAGATATTGACCTTGGTTCATGGTAGGAACACATCTTCTTTTTAATGCTACAGTAGAGACAACATTAAGTACTTTTTTCCTTATTTCAAGTAGGGCTGGCAGACATTTTCAATATATTTTTTATTCGTGTTACATTTTTAATCTACAATTGAATGAAGTACAAAAGATCAGTGATGAACCTTCACATATTGATAACTAGGCAAAAAAATATTAATTTTTTGGCAGGGTACATAGCCAGGGGCATTTTTAACACATCTATTATGTAATAATAGACACTGAGTGTGTCTAGTTAATTAACTTTTTTCTCCTGAAGGCAAAGTATTTATACACCATCACTGCTCTAATATATTCTGTTACCTACAGAGATATTGCATTTAACATCACAGCAATTAGAAGCTTCCTCCAGTCTCTCTTTGGGTTATGGGAATAAAACAAATACTACTCTAACCATAACATTAACCCACATAGCTTCTTAGTTGCAGGCGTCTTAAAGAGTCTTATTAATAATGCATTTTAAAATCTCATTTGAAATATATAGGCAATTATAATTTTAAAAAAAAAAAACGCACTCCTAGGGCCTGGACTTTTTGATCTGTATTTTATCTATCAAATCTCTAAAGAAATGAAATTGTCAGGTTTCTGGAAGAGAAGAGCCATACTTGCCTCTTCTCTATCCATGTGTTCTACCTTCCCTCTGTCCAAACTCTGCAGCCACCCTGGATGCCTTTGTCATTAACATTTGTCTGGGAGTTCTGAATGCCGGGGTTATGGTTACCATTAGTCCCTATTACTCAGGGACAGCCCCAATTTTGAGGGGTTTGTCCTTGGGAAACAAGCATCCCTGGAGTTGTCATCAGCTGCCTGGCAGTGCAGACATGAGGGCATTGCTGGCACTGGATACCCCCACCCAGGGGCGGACTGACAACTCATGGGGCCCCCGGGCAATAGGGGATCATGGGGCCCCTGTGTCCTTGCCCAAACTCAAAAAAGCCTATGAAAAAGGTACCAGGGGCATCTCATGGGGCCCCTACTGACCCCGGGCCCTCGGGCAGTGCCCGAGTTTCCAAATGGTCAATCCACCCCTGCCCCCATCTTTTGCCAGTGCTGTTACTGCCTAACTTTTTTACAATTTTCAACACTGCACTGTCATCTACAGCAGCTGAACAGAGTCACCTAAGAACCCCCTAAGCTCCTCCTTAATTCTGATGGGCAGTGTCACATGACATTGCAGAGGATTTCCCCCTCACTGTGCTTTGCAATGATATCTAAGGTCAAGTAAGTGAACTGCAGGGCGGTGGAGGAATTTGTGGTCTGTACATTGTGGAGGGTCTAAACTGGGAAGGTATGTAATATGTACTAGGGGGTGGACTCTGTACTGGGGGTTTGTGGTCACAATCACAGTGCATGATGACATCACAAGGGGGCAGGGCCACCCCGACACCTTGTGATGTCATCACAGTATTTAAACTGTCAGGCTGGCACAGCTGTTAGCCAATGGGAGCCAGCGTCGAGTGCAGAGCGTTTTTTTTTCTTCCTTTTTCAGGTTGGCAGTGGCGGCGAACATTGATGTTGGATCTATTTCGAGCCTTTTTTTTGTTTTGTGTTTAATAAAGGTCTTGTGTCAAAGACTTCAGTCATTTATTACACTACACTTTTTTTGTGAATGAGTAGCGGTACCATGTATCCTATATTCATTCACATGGGGGGGGGGGCGGGGTCTGGGGGCCCCCTTGTTTATGTACAGCATTGCATGACCGCGCAATTGTCAGTTAAAGTAACGCAGCGCCGGATCACAAAAAATTACCTGGTCAGAAGGGGGACCCCAGAAAAGGTGGGTTCTACCTCCAGGCTGTAGGCTAGAAGTTGAAGGAGGAAAGAGGAGAGCTGAATGAGGGAGCTCCACTGCCCTGCCGTCCACCAGGGAAGGACAGCCTGCTTAGCTTGGAGAGGAATCAGCCCAGCTAGAAGGCCTGAAAGCAGTTCTTTCTACAGCTGCAGGACAAGGTCAGTGTGAGTACCTCTACATCCCCAGGGCCTAGAAGATAGAAGTCTACTGGACACAAGTTCTTGGTAAATCTTCGGTGGAGAGTTTATAGCTTGCACAATCCCATGTCCTGGGATCAGATACCGTAGCCAGGTGGACTAGTATTGTGTTCACTTAGGGGACTAAGAACATCTACAAGTTGGGACTTTGCTAAAAATCCACTCAAGCAGACTCAGAGCTCCTGCAATCTACCACTTTGTTAAAGACTGTCATAGTTCCAGCTGGAACACAGTCAGATTCCTACCATTATTGTAGCAGTCTGGAGAAGAAAATTGTCCTCAGTTGTTATTCTGCAATCACGTTGGGCATCCCATAATCCCATTACCCTATCCAAATTAATTTCCCTAATAAAACTTAAAAACCAAGCTCATGGACTGTTTTTTGTGTCAAATTTAAAGTAGTCCCCTTGTGAAGTGCCATACTTTTCTAGACAACTGTACCACTGTCAGAAACATTCCTGGAATTCCTGGAAAGCTGCGCAGTATCTTTGTCGGGGTGCAATGAATGTCTGGAACGTCATCAAATCTGTGTCCGTTTTAAGGCATTTCTTTATTTTTGGAAACAGCCAAAAGTTAAGGGAATAAGGTGGCTGGTCGAGTTTCAGAATAGATTTCACATCATGTGCAGAAGCACTGTCATGGTAGAGAATCCACTTGTGAAGCCAGAGTTCCAGTCTTATCCTCTGAACAGAATCTCTGTCCACATTTGCATCCATCATTTGTGTTTCTGGCTACCCTCTTCTTGAGTCATCGTGGAATCTTCCTGCCCTTCCTTAAACCGCTCATGCCATTCAAAAACAGTCGATTTCCTCATGGAATGTTCAGTAAAACCTGTTGTAACAGAGCTAAAGTTTCACTCTCACTTTTGCCTTTTTCACACAAAATTTGATGTTAATCTTCTGCTCCAGATTCCTGTCACTCATTTTCTGCCAACAGTGCAACATACACACACATGGTATTTCTTCTACTGCTTTGTAAAAAGTCAACTGCTCTGCAACTCAGGCGAGTGCAAGTTAGAATAAGTCAGAAGACACTTGAGTGCGAATGTCTGTGTGACTCACCACCATATTGATTAAGGTGGGCTTTCAGGGAATAAATTGTCACATCTCGTACACTTAAAATTTCTAACCACAATATGGCTTACATCAATGGTTCTCAGCCTGTGGAACCTCAGGACCCACATCTGTCCTTGGTCATTAAGTTGCGACCCAAAAATAATTTAATTTCCGAAACATTATTATTTATTCCACAAAACAACTTGTGCAGTGTTCTTCAATGTACATAATTTTACATAATAAAACACTTTTTAACTTTTAAAATAAATAATTATTTTAAGCATACATAAAATAACAAAAATCCACCAATACCCTCTAACTTAAAGCAATGTCCCCTCTACCTCACACTAATAGCCCATTAAGCTGAGCAATGCCTCCCCTACCTCTCACTCTCTCAAAGACACACTAAGCTAAGAGTATTAATGTCTTCAGTGGCTTTTTAAATAAACAATATAGTTTGTGCAATATTTGTGGGAGGGTTTTCAGTCCCCCCTATTTCATGCACTCTTCAATCCCCCCTTCCATGCCCTGCTTTAGCCCACCCTTTCATGCCCCACCAGTGGTGCTTTTCCTCCCTCCTGGCTGGAAGGAAGTGTAGTTATCAGGGACGGACTGACAACTGGGGCCCCAGGGTAATTCATGGGGCCCCTGTCCCTTGCCCAAACTCAAAAAAAGCATATGAGAAAGGTACCAGGGGCATCTCATGGGGTCCCCTACTGACCCCGGGCCCTCAACAGTGCCTAGTTTCCAAATGGTCATCCGTGGTGTTACTGTATATGTCGCTTCCTCCCAGCGCTGCCACGGAGGAAGGAGCAGGGCTGGTGCTTCCACTAGGCAAACTAGGCAGCCACCTCGGGCACACTGCCATCTAGGGGCGCCTGGGCGCAGCGCAGCCCGGCACTCTGTCTGTGTCATGAATGATCCTTCAGGGAGGAAGAAAGGAAAGAGGAAGATGCTGGGTGTCTGGGGCCAGTGTAGCAGCTGAGCTTCCAGTGTTCCTCTCAGACTCAGTCCTTTACTGCAAGCCAGCTGGTGGCTGCTGATCACTGTGGAGTTCCAGCCCTCCTCTTCACATTCATCAGGGGAGGAAGAGCTGTGCCTGCAGAGGAAGGTAATGTCTGACTCTGAAGTCTCTTGTCTGTGTGAAGGTGACCCAGCCGGCTGTCCATCACATGTGCAATGTGTCAGTGAGTGATGACATGATCACAATCCCACACCCTGCTCTTCAAGTGCCTGCTGGGCCTGCTGATCTGTGTCAGTATTGGTGGTGCTGTGTCAGATCTGCGCAGTGTGGGATTGCTCAGTTCAGGTGTTCTCTCTCTGTGTGTGTGGGCTGGGTTGCCTGCTGTCACAGTGGTTTATTTCCCCCCATTGCCTGGGGAATTCCAACTGGGATCTGTCAGAATGTGGATCCATCATCCTCCACTCACTGCAACTGTCACCCTGCCACTGCCAGCCACAGATACAGTCTGTCCATGACACTGATTTTGTCTTTAATATTGGTGCTGGTGGCATCTTATCTCACTTATTTTGCAAATTAAAAAATTTTTGCAGTTTCATGCTTTTTCATTTAATGTGTTCTATTGTTTTTAAAATTATTTATTTATTTTTGGGGGGGGGCAAGTAGCTGGTTGCCTAGGGCGTAAAATAGTCTAGCACTGGCCCTGGGAAGGAGGAATGAGCGTAAGGGCAGTGGGACCACTTTGTAAGTGCACCATGTGCACCAACTCAGTGGGACCGGCTGCCCACAATAATGCAAATATTAAGGCCATCCGTAGTTGTAGTCCCGGCCATCTTAACATTTATATTAGTGCGGCCAGTTGTTTTTATTAAGCTATGTTGTCAGGGCACTGGACGTTTTTTTGGGGCATTAGAGAGGCCTGGGGGGGGGCACTTGCCCCACAGCCCAGTCCACCCCACCTAAAAATGGGTCTCAACCTATTACTTGAGAAACATGGCTTATATAAGGTAAGAAAAAGACAAAAGTAAAGAAAATACATGAAAAACTATGTTATAAATGTAAAAAAGATGAAGACTAAGCAAAAATATAAGACCCTTGTTATATTATCAGCTCAAAATGAATATTTACTGAAACTACCCTGTAGCCTCCTCCTAAAACAGATCTCAGTTAAACATGCAACCAATTTTGACCACCCTGTTCTCTTTTTTTAAATGAAAAAAAAAATGAGCTGCAATATTTACTTCTGCAGACAATGGTGCCTCAAACTCCTATAGGAGCAGGTCATGTGACCAGATTCCTAGGCTAAAAGGTCTTGTGGATTGGCTTTCTGGCCCCCTTCAATACACCGTATCAACATGCATTGGCAGCCCATTTATAATGTATGAGCTGCCTTAATCAAACACTTCACCTCCCTCTGATTGAGCTCTGATCACCCCCCTCCACTGAGATCACATGACCAGATGCCTAGGCAAATTACCTCCTGCCATAGAAGCCCAAAACAGTGTTTGCTGCAGTATGTGTGTTTTTTCCTTTGGGTAGCATGTGAGAGTGCTTTCACTATCATTCCACTTTAAACACTTGCCCTCCAGAGGATTTACCCCCCTTCCTGACCAGGCCATTTTTTTGTGATACAGCGCTTACTTTAACTGGCAATTGCGCGGTCATACAACGCTGCACCCAAATGAAATTTATGTCCTTTTTTTCCAAAAAAGAGCTTTCTTTCGGTGGTATTTGATCACCTCTGCATTTTTTATTTTTTGCACTGTGAACGAAAAAAACTATTTTTAAAATAAAACAATTTTGACTTTTTGCTATAAAACATATCCAGTAAATAAATTAAAAAATCAAATTTCTTCATAAATTTGCTAAAAAAATCCCAATACATGTAAATGAATTGGTTTACATGAAAATTATAGCATCCACAAATGGCAGTATATATACTGGATTTTTTAAAAACTGTTTTTATATTATGGCGGCGATCAGCAACTTATTGCTTGACTACGGGACTGCGGCAGGCATTCTGACACTGGGTGA